GCAGATTTAGGGATGATGGATTCATAATTTTTAACGGAACAAAGGAAGAAATTCTAGAATTTTTTGACATCAGCAACAGCTGTCATAAACATCTTAAATTCGCATTTGAAATAGCTCACTCATCCGTAAATTTCCTGGACACAACGGTTTACAAAGGCAATCGATTTAATCATTGCCAGAAACTTGATATCAAATCTTTCATAAAACCAACTAATAATTTTCAATACCTTCATAGAAACAGTGCACACAACGCCTCTGTATTTAAAGGTTTTATCAAAGGAGAATGTATAAGACATTCCAGAAATACTAACGACCCTTCAGTTCTTAAAAACAATTCTACAGGATTTCAAGGGACATCTTTCAAAGAGAGGCTATTCTGAGGAAGAAATCAACCCAATAGTTGAAGAAACAACACAGAAGGAAAGACAACTCTTTTTAAGAAATAGAAAAAACACAAAGCCTAGCCATCCACAGGTCATGGTTACAAAATTTAACCCTCGCATCAAAGGACTAAAAAAGCGGATTTTAAAGTACTGGAATATTTTGGAAGCAGACCCAATATGCAAAGATCTATTCAAATCGGAACCTATCATTGCGTATAGCAAGCATAAAAACATCGGAGATCTATTGATAAAATCAAGCTTACAATAAACATGGAATATCTTTATTGGGGCCCCTGATGAGGCATATCTGTCGCCGAAACACTCTACTACTACCATTATAACTATTATTTTAATCATAACAATATCATCCTAATTCATTCAATGTGGTTTAGAGTGTCGGGTCCCAATAACTCATTATCAAGTCTGGTTGATTGATGTCGTTTATGGAAAACTGTGATTTAGGAACAATGTTCCACTGACATCATCCCGCGCATCGCATCTCTATGACAGCGATCGGCTTGGTCGATTTATTGGGGCTTCATCCTCTGACCACCTTGAAGCATCACGTAACACCTCGTTTTACCAAATCTCACATCCGCTTTTTTCCAACAAATTTGTCACTTCAAAGAAATTCAATTCAACCAATCCCGGACGACGCAATTAATTCTACCAAAAGAAGCTCTGTACATTACTCACCTCTCCACAATTCATCTGAACCTAGAATATGATAAAACGCTTTAACAGACTATCTTTGAAAAAAATGAATAATCAAATGCCAGACTTGGACCTTGATGATATCCAGGGAAATCAAGAGGCTGCAGCGAGCATCCCGGACCTAGACATATCCATAATCTTGACGGAAGAGCCCAAAAACGTTATTAATTGGAATTCATCGACAGAACTCAAGGAAATACAGGATACTCTGGACAAACGCCTGACCCTCTCCAAAAGAAGAGAAAGCATTAACCATGGCCTCCGTACAGGTCGCTACCCTCCATGGTTCTCGGCCAGGGTCTCATGCAATTTAAACTTAGGAAAAATTTGAGGAGTTCTGGAATCATACTGCCGAGAATAAAACAAAGGAAGCAGCACAGGCCGTAATCGGATACATCAATGACGATATCAGAGAAAAAGTGCGCCATATCCAGACCCTAAGGGAATCAGCTCTAAAAGACTTGAGGAAAATCACACCAGACTTTACCCAAGAACAGAAGAAGTTCGACCAAATTATCATGGACATTAACATCCAGCACACTAAGGAACTGCAGGAATTCCGGGACAAGCTAAACTCGTTATTTTACACCCCCTCTTCCAGACCTCGGAAACAGGAGACCCATCGCCAGTCCCAAGGAAAACCCAAACAGGACCACAAGTATAACCAGCAACGCCGGAACTATACTAGCTATAAGGGTCATCGATACCAAACGCAGACCCTATTAATTTGTAAATTCTATGTGACTACGAAGGACAACTATTGATTGAATTAGTGAAAAGGTTTAATGTACAAATAATGAGCTTACAATGTATGTAATAATACATATGGATATTTACTTTATTGTTGATGGTTTTAAAATTGATATATTTGATATCATACTCTAAGGCGTGACTTAGATCACGTGATACTAAATAAATTGGTATAACCTATGAAGTTCTATCCGCGCATTAGATTACTACAAACCCTCTAACTTATCACACTCTGATAACTAGACGGGCCAGTACAGCTAAACTTTTATAATCTCTATTACAACGTCAACACGTGTAATAGACGATATTCATTTATTAATTGTAGTCTCAATAATCTACAAACTCGGAATCCATTTCCTCTATTAGAATGGCAAGGCGCTTCAATAGACGGAAAAAAGACACTAAAAGTACTAAACGAATCAAACCATACTTTGCCAACCTCAGACGTATCAATAAGTCGAAGCACCTAAATGAGGCACGTAAATACGTCCTCAATCTATCAAAATACCAACTAAATGATAATGAATATGTCCTACTAGCAAAAGGGCTTAAATTCATTCCAACACCAAAACAAAAAAATGTTAAGAGGTGTATCCTTAAAGATTTCGACGAGTTTGCTAGAAAATTGAGATGCAAATATCATTTTGATAATGGGGATGATTCAAAAATCCACCCATTTAGAACTTCGTCGGGCTTTCAGCCCTCCTACACATGTAGCCTACTTGAAGAATACATTGACAAAACAAAGTTGGAATTATCATCTATCACAACCAAAACATTCCAAGACAACCTTTCTCATAGCGAAAGAAACGCTCTTTCTTCGCTTAAAAACAATCCCAATGTTGTCATTAAAAAAGCGGACAAAAGCAATACTATAGTTATAATGGACAGGAATCAGTACATATCTGAAGCAGAGCGTCAGTTACTCTCAAAGCATTATATGCAAGTTGAAAAGCCAAACTTGATAAACTTGCAAGATCTTATTCTAACTAGAATAACTGATATGCACTCCAGGGGCTCCATAGATAAAATTACTCTACGATTTCTGAAAGACAAAAATCAGTCAATCGAATGCGGCCAATTTTATCTGCTCCCTAAAATACACAAACTACAAGACAATGTCCGAAATGCCCTCCTTAATGACCTATGCAGTATCAGACGATTACCACCTGGACGGCCAATTATTGCTCAATGCAATACACCAACGAGGAAAATTGGGGCATATTGTGACTACTTTCTTATCCCCATCGTACAAAAACAATTAACCTATATCAAGGACACTACTGATTTTATCAATAAGATCGAATGTTTAGAACTCCCGTCGGATGCGTGACTAATCACTTACGATGTAACCAGCATGTATACAAATATGGAATTTGAAGAACTACTAAATGCCGTCAGGAATGCTTACAACAACTCGGATAAAAGCCACTCAGACATCCCGTATCCTGATGTAGAGGACTTAATTTTTCTTCTCAGATGCGTATTAGAAAACAATTTCTTTGAATTTAACGGAAAATTCTACAAACAAATCATAGGCTGCAGCATGGGCGCAGTACCATCCCCGGAAATCTCAGACATGAGAATGTACGAAATTACGCAGTTTATTGAATCTAAATTTCAACATGTGAACAAAATTCTGTTTCATGGCAGATTTAGGGATGATGGATTCATAATTTTTAACGGAACAAAGGAAGAAATTCTAGAATTTTTTGCATCAGCAACAGCTGTCATAAACATCTTAAATTCACATTTGAAATAGCTCACTCATCCGTAAATTTCCTGGACACAACGGTTTACAAAGGCAATCGATTTAATCATTGCCAGAAACTTGATATCAAATCTTTCATAAAACCAACTAATAATTTTCAATACCTTCATAGAAACAGTGCACACAACGCCTCTGTATTTAAAGGTTTTATCAAAGGAGAATGTATAAGACATTCCAGAAATACTAACGACCCTTCAGTTCTTAAAACAATTCTACAGGATTTCAAGGGACATCTTTCAAAGAGAGGCTATTCTGAGGAAGAAATCAACCCAATAGTTGAAGAAACAACACAGAAGGAAAGACAACTCTTTTTAAGAAATAGAAAAAACACAAAGCCTAGCCATCCACAGGTCATGGTTACAAAATTTAACCCTCGCATCAAAGGACTAAAAAAGCGGATTTTAAAGTACTGGAATATTTTGGAAGCAGACCCAATATGCAAAGATCTATTCAAATCGGAACCTATCATTGCGTATAGCAAGCATAAAAACATCGGAGATCTATTGATAAAATCAAGCTTACAATAAACATGGAATATCTTTATTGGGGCCCCTGATGAGGCATATCTGTCGCCGAAACACTCTACTACTACCATTATAACTATTATTTTAATCATAACAATATCATCCTAATTCATTCAATGTGGTTTAGAGTGTCGGGTCCCAATAACTCATTATCAAGTCTGGTTGATTGATGTTTATGGAAAAAAAATCAACATTGGGCCGATGAGCAAACTTACATTGGACCAATGTCATTTGCCAACATTGGCCCAATGTAACCGATGACATTGGCCCAACGTTGGCCCAATGTTAGCATGCTATCTGGGTAACTGGTGAAGCTTCCTCGGGTGGCCAGAAAGAGAATCTCGTCTCATTATGTGGTTCCTTCGGGGATAACCCCAGAGTGAATTATGACTACACTATTGGATTCGGGCCCCAATGTGACAATCTTTCAAACAGGGAATGACATGAGGATGTCGGGGGTGTAAGAAAAATCTGTGCAGTCGATTCCTGGTGGTCTGAGCTTAACGTCCAAGCCAGAATCCCTTTCAATTTGAAAACTAATCGAGAGAATGTTATTGAAGTGTTTGGGTTGTGAGTGTCTTTGCATTGGAAATACTAACTCTTTAAGGAACGATATAGCATCAGGGTTAGGGTTATAGTTTCGTATCTCTTTGATTATGTCAACACATTGATAACTAATTATACTAGACTTGGAATAGATTTTCCCGGTGATATCAAACCGTATCAGCCAAATGAAGAGTCTTTAATAATTTTTTTGCATGTATACTTTTGCAATTATTACATATAGACAATATATTTAGTACATTCACATAATTTAACCGATGATGTTGTGGTCTAATTTGGTAATTAAATATTTACCTGTTCCTAGTGCAGGAAATGCTAGGCTTGACAATTTCATTTCTTCTGCTTTTTGTAAACATTTCAGAACCATCTTTTTCCAAGCAACAGTCACTTTAAAAGATCTACTGACAGAAACAGAATCCACGTGGAATATAAACAAACACGGGATCTGTAAAGGGTCACCGGAAGTAGTCACAGCCAAACCTTGCTTATCGATCTCACGACCTGTGGTGTTGGTAAATTAGATTTATATAATTAAAACTGTCAGGTAAATCTAACAACCGATGCATGAAAATAAACAAATTTGAATTAAAAAATAAAACCTTTTAGGCATTATTAGAATACACTGACTTGCAAAGAAAATGATTCCTGTATAACTAGAACTTTTATTTTGATTATCTGATTTGAGGTGTATGTTCTCAAGATTCGTTATACTTTTCTTCATTTTATCGCAATTTTCTTGTTCATAATTTACAAACATACATATCTATTCGTTGATGTTATTGAAATCAGAATGGTTGGCAACTTTTGTATGCTTTAAACTATTAGATAAAAATAAAAAAAAATGTCAAAACCTGTCACTGTCATTGACATTAATTATTGATAAAATTTCAAGGAGGAAATATAAATGTCCCTTAAGGGCGAAATATTATAATTGGTATTAAAAAAACGTAAAAGAAAGACGTACGTTTTTCTGTTGATTTAAGTTCATCTTCCAGTATGGTTCCACCTTTGATTAAAATGTTTTGAGACACCGCACCTAATGATACATAAGTGAAAGATTGAGTGAGATATCGGAGTAAGAATGAGGAATATATCACTGTAAAAGATTGGGTGAGATATCGGAGTAAGAATGAGGAATATATCACTGTAAAAGATTGAGTGAGATATCGGAGTAAGAATGAGGAATATATCACTGTAAAAGATTGGGTGAGATATCGGAGTAAGAATGAGGAATATATCACTGTAAAAGATTGGGTGAGATATCGGAGTAAGAATGAGGAATATATCACCGTAAAAGATTGTGTGAGATATCGGAGTAAGAATGAGGAATATATCACTGTAAAAGATTGGGTGAGATATCGGAGTAAGAATGAGGAATATATCACTGTAAAAGATTGAGTGAGATATCGGAGTAAGAATGAGGAATATATCACTGTAAAAGATTGGGTGAGAAATCGGAGTAAGAATGAGGAATATATCACTGTAAAAGATTGGGTGAGATATCGGAGTAAGAATGAGGAATATATCACTGTAAAAGATTGAGTGAGATATCGGAGTAAGAATGAGGAATATATCACTGTAAAAGATTGGGTGAGAAATCGGAGTAAGAATGAGGAATATATCACTGTAAAAGATTGAGTGAGATATCGGAGTATATTACATTTTCAACAGTGAAATACTGTAATTTATCCATTGAATAAAAATGATATCCTGTCACAGTGTGAAAGGATATCAAAATGATATCCTGTCACAGTATGAAAGAACATCAACCGGAACTACTTTTCATATTTCTATGGAGGAGTTATATCCCTTGATTACTTTTTTCCCCAGTTTTATCATCAAATTTATTATAACACCCATTAGTTTATTTAATAAACAAATTTCAGAAAAAAGGAACTACTTTTTTGTTAATTTGAACATTGAATTATGTCCCTTGATCTTTCTCTCTCTGTCAAATTATCTCCCTTGGCAGAGCTCTTTTGTCGTCCGTTTCAATATTATTGTATTAAAATGGAAAAAACTAATCCTAATGACAAAAATGTTACCACATTGGAAATAAAAGGCATGACAAAGAATGAAAATGACAGAGACAATGACTTGAATGCATTCATTGAAGAGTTGGATGAGGAAACATTAGCAGGCATCAGTTATAACCTAATTGGAGATTTTTCTGTTGAGCTCACTCCAGGAGGTGACCAAGTTTCACAAAACAAGCGCTTTGCTGAGGTCTGTTATGATGATATTGATAAATTTCTGATAACTAATGAGAACAAAAAACACTTCTAAAAAAACTAAATGTGATATTAACACATTCAAAGAGTTCTTACAGGCAAAAGAGAGTTCAGGGTCCCTGAAATAATACCCCCCCTTTGAGTTAAATTTACACATAGCGTCATTCCTTCTCTCAGTCAAGAAAAAGGATGGCACAGAATATGGGACAACCTCTTTGCGGGCCTACATGTCAAGTATCAATAGATACTTGCAGCAAAAGGAGTATGGGTACTCAGTCATCAATGACCTACAGTTCAGCAAGGCTCGTGATGTGTTGAAAACAAAACAAAAACAACTGAAGTCACTCAGAAAAGGGAATAAACCCATGGCTGCTGACGAACTAACAGAAAATGAATTTAAAATATTCTACGAAAAGAAGATATTAGGTCCCTACACACCTACCTCACTTACAAATTCTATGTTTACAATTTGCACCAATCATTTTGGAATGAGGCCCGGTAGAGAAGTTCATGATTTGACTTGGGGAGATATTGAACTGAAATATGATGAGGGGGAAAATTTAGAGTACATTGTTTTCAATCAGGAGAGACAAACCAAAACAAGAACAGGCGCTAATCCCAGAGATGTTAGGAAATTGAAACCAAGGGCTTATGCCACACCAGCTGAACCCGAGAAAGACCCAGTTTCTCTTTACAAAAAATTCTGTGACATGCGACCTGAAGAAACCAAACAGGAAAACTCACCGTTTTTTTTTTTAGCAGTAAATGCACGTGCTGACTTAGGTAAAATTTTAGAATCAACTAAATAAAATTTATATCAACTTTGTTGTAAATATAATTAACATTTTAAATGAAGGAAAATAAAATCATAATTGCAAAATAATTCATATTAAAGGAGATCCAACAAGTTACTGGTATAAGAAAAATGCCATGGGTATTAATAAACTGTATGGACTGGTCAAGGAAATGAATTCCTCTGCTGGGATTGACAGTGACAAGAGATTTACAAATCATAGGTATTTTTAAAAGATGCAGGTCAAATTTAGATTAGTCCGATATATGTATTTTTTGAATTTTTAAACGATCTAAAAAAAGAAAATTAATTTAACATGTTTAAAAATAAGAGATATAACGTTAGTAAAAATAAATTAGACATAAATGTTTTATTTTGCTAGTATGAGGAAACATCTTGTACAGAGGCTATCTGATGCCGGAGTTCCAGCCAACCAGATTACACAAATATCGGGGTACAAAAATGTCAACAGCATTAACAACTACAGCAAAATAAACAACAACCAAAACAGAAATATATCTTCTATTTTGACATCGGCTGATAAACCGACAATCTTGCCTATAAAGGAACATCATTCCGCGTCTCAGACGATTACTCAAACCCTATCGAGCACCCACAATCAAACTATATCGTCGTGCCAGTCCCGCATTGATTCGGATATAAGATCCACCTGTATGGAAACAGTCTTTCGGGACAAGTTATATTCAATATTTCGTACGGGAGCAGCGAGCACATGGCTGACACGTCGTGCATCCCAGCCCATCAAGACGCAAATGAAAACCCTCCAGCTAAAATATACAAACGAATCTTACCTTTAGAAAGTGACAGCGATTAAAAAAAGTCCCAACATCATTGAACAGTTCACTAGAGCAGCTTAACATGCTAAACTAAATTCTAACTTTTAAAACCCCGCTTCGATTTGTTTTCGAGAGTAATTCGTCCCTAAGTATTCATACTCGATATTTTCATCAATTAAAAAAAGAAAAATTATTGTATATTCAATAAGTTATTAATGAAATTACTTTAATTTTGTTAAATTAAAGTTGTTTATTTGTTCAAATTTATTGTGTTGATCATTTTGTGTATCGTTATTACGGAACTATATTTAGCGCGCAATATTGTTTTGGCAGCTGAACAGGGAGATGGCTAATATGGGCAAAACAGAGCTGGGGAAAATGTAATAAACAGAAAATTCAATGTTTTGTTGTTGAGTATGGAATTTATTTCACTCGTGAAACAGGATTTTTTGATATTTTCACTCGTGCTTCGCACTCGTGAAAATGTCAAGAAATCCTGTTCCACTCGTGAAATAAATTCCATATTCAACAACAAAACATTGAATATCCTCTATAAGAATGAAGAATATATCAGTGTAAAAGATTGGATGAGAAATCGCAGTAAGAATGAGGAATATATCAGTGTAAAAGATTGAGTGAGATATCGGAGTAAGAATGAGGAATATATCACTGTAAAAGATTAAGTGAGAAATCGGAGTAAGAATGAGGAATATATCACAGTAAAAAGTTGTGTGAGATATCGGAGTAAAAATGAGGAATATATCACTGTAAAAGATTGGGTAAGATATCGGAGTAAGAATGAGGAATATATCACAGTAAAAAGTTGTGTGAGATATCGGAGTAAGAATGAGGAATATATCACTGTAAAAAATTGGGTGAGATATCGGAGTAAGAATGAGGAATATATCACTGTAAAAGATTGTGTGAGATATCGGAGTAAGAATGAGGAATATATCACTGTAAAAGATTGAGTGAGATATCGGAGTAAGAATGAAGAATATATCACATTAAAAGATTAAGTGAGAAATCGGAGTAAGAATGAGGAATATATCACAGTAAAAAGTTGTGTGAGATATCGGAGTAAGAATGAGGAATATATCACTGTAAAAGATGGTAAGATATCGGAGTAAGAATGAGGAATATATCACTGTAAAAGATTGAGTGAGAAATCGGAGTAAGAATGAGGAATATATCACTGTGAAAGATTGGGTGAGATATCGGAGAAAGAATGAGGAATATATCACTGTAAAAGATTGTGTGAGATATCGGAGTAAGAATGAGGAATATATCACTGTAAAAGATTGAGTGAGATATCGGAGTAAGAATGAAGAATATATCACATTAAAAGATTAAGTGAGAAATCGGAGTAAGAATGAGGAATATATCACAGTAAAAGATTGGGTGAGATATCGGAGTAAGAATGAAGAATAGATCACATTAAAAGATTAAGTGAGAAATCGGAGTAAGAATGAGGAATATATCACTGTAAAAGATTGAGTGAGATATCGGAGTAAGAATGAAGAATATATCACATTAAAAGATTAAGTGAGAAATCGGAGTAAGAATGAGGAATATATCACAGTAAAAAGTTGTGTGAGATATCGGAGTAAAAACGAGGAATATATCACTGTAAAAGATTGGGTAAGATATCGGAGTAAGAATGAGGAATATATCACAGTAAAAGATTGAGTGAGAAATCGGAGTAAGAATGAGGAATATATCACTGTAAAAGATTGGGTGAGATATCGGAGTAAGAATGAGGAATATATCACTGTAAAAGATTGAGTGAGATATCGGAGTAAGAATGAAGAATATATCACTGTAAAAGATTGAGTGAGATATCGGAGTAAGAATGAAGAATATATCACATTAAAAGATTGAGTGAGAAATTGGAGTAAGAATGATGAATATATCACACTAAAAGATTGTGTGAGATATCGGAGTAAGAATGAGGAATATATCACAGTAAAAGATTGTGTGAGATATCGGAATAAGAATGAGGAATATATCACTGTAAAAGATTGGGTGAGATATCGGAGTAAGAATGAGGAATATATCACTGTAAAAGATTGGGTGAGATATCGGAGTAAGAATGAGGAATACATCAGTTAACATGACAAGAAAAGTAAGTCGAAAAAATGTCAATTTAATTTAGCATTTATGTAAATTTTTCAATGTATCTGAAGTCCAGTTTTACAATGCTTTACTATACATCTTTTGCAAAGTAAAACCACATCTCAAATAGTGAAGGGTTTGGTTATTTCTATCATACCTATGAATTTAAATTCCCTCGAATGATTATTTTATCTACCTATTGCTTCAATGAATCTACTGAACAAATGAGAAAAAATCGGACTAAACATCGATACTTCTGAATAAAAGGATTCCACAGTAAATGTTATCTTCAGAAGTAAAGGGTATTAACAATATAATTACTCTTACTTCTGCTACGAACAAAAGCTGCACATACCTTTAGTCAGGTCCAGGAATTTATTAGAGCTGTTGACAATAGCATCCACCCTGGTATCCGTTATGTCCCCTAACATTCCACAAACAGTAATGTCTCCAACAGTGAATTTAAATGATGACGACTGATTTATATTTAGGGTCTTCTTCCATTCACAACCTGGATATATTAAAAGTGGCTACTATTTAACTAATTTTAAGCAAATGAATATTTGTGAGTTACTTTATTGCAGCTAGTTGACCTAGAACCATTCATAAGTAATATTAATTTCATGAATTAAGATATAGCTTAGGCCATAAATTCAAATCAAATAGTGACAAGAATATTTTTTTCTAATTATACTAAACTTAAACCACATTTTTAACTTCAGTTTTACACATGTAATTATATATTTATTGTCTTTATATAAAAAAGATTATAAAACAAGTGCCTACAAATGATTCAAAAGACTATTTTATTGTTTTAGTCGATCATTATAGAATGTGTGGCGAGTCATAAGATATGGTGGTCGCGCCTGTTTCTTTTAAGTCCCCACGTAAGTTTTTGTTTTACACTGCTTTTACATTAAATAATTTTGACAATATAAACTGAAAACTATACAGGATAAAAAGAAGCAAAATATTTCTTTTCACTTAATCTTATTGTCTTTGAAGGAGCTTAACACAAAGTGCAGAAGAGTGAAGGCACCCTAGAATTAAAAATTCGCAACGCTCAATACTGTTTAATCCTTCGTGCAAACGAATTAAGATCAAGACAATTGCTTCTCAAAAAGTTCACACAATTAAAGTAAAAACTTTAATGAAGGTTATTCCATGTATGGACTAGGTCGTCCTCTATATTTCCGGCAGATTCTGCTGCTGGAAAAGCGCTCAATCTCTGGTCCATCTTGTCCCATTCGTGTTCTATAGGGTTGAGATGTGGATGACATTGAAGCTTACCGAAATTGTTTGTACCCAATATTTATCCTACAGTACATAAGGTTTTCTTAAACGCATTCCCCACTCTTCCAGTTTGTTTCTAATAATTTGGATAATTAAGGAGATTTGAATTAATTTTTAATGAGTGCAGGGCAATTGCACGTGCAGATAGGTTTATTCCACAATAGTTAGTAATTCTTATGTAGTAGCCCTGTTGATGTGCCGTTGCAGTACGTGTATATGCCTTGACCATGGGCACTTCCGGTTTCGGTTTGAGTGAATTTCCGGTTAAACTCTAGGGTGGTTAAGTGGTATTTCTTGAAAATCTAGCAATTTTTAATGATTTTAAGGAATACAAGTAAGCTTTGTGCATCTTTCTGACGGTATTTTTAACGATTTTACATAAAATAAACAAATACAAAGGAAGGAAATACAACTTTCTTTTACTACCGCCAGCTTGGACCATGGCAACTTCACATGCATATTGTCGTTCGTACATACACGGCATTTTAAACAACCTTTTTTTTTGTTTTTCCTAAACAACTAAAGATGGAGAACACATGGTAATTTAAATAAATGGAAGATACACCCGAAAACATATGAAACTCGCACTTCATGCTTTTTAACAAAAAGGGTCATGGATGAGTAATTACACATTTGATTTCAATTTGTTTGGCCGTAACAGGCAATCATCCAAAAATAAAGTCAAAATTGTGAACAATTAGTCAATTAATTTTAAGGTTTTTAAATACTTAAAATAATAAAAGTGGGGACTTAGAAATTTTGACAAGTATACATGTATACATATACTTTATATTCATAGTTTCATAATAAGCAATAAGCTATTTTAGTTCGTAATCACTATGTGTAAAAGTATTAATGTATATAAGATATAGGGTAAGGATTTATTATGGCAGATGATCTCATCTCTGATGTTGTGGAGGTTCGTGTTTGTTCCGCTACCATTATATAATGTTTAATAGACTTTGGAGCTCGAGCTATAATATTTTTCGCTATCTCCTCAAATTTCTCTTACAAACATTCAAATACACAGTTGACTGCTTATATTGAATATAAAGGCATTCGAAGTTTATTTATTTATACGTTCCAACTGGAAAATTACGTCTTCAAGACAAAGGGTCCTCGTAATAAAGGAAGAAAAACCATTTACACAGCAAAGAAAAGGGGTCTAAGGTAGACTGCCTTTTTATAGAATAGAGATATATTTTTAAAACAAGAGGCAGTATAAATCAAAATAGCATAAACGACTTTAGGTGCAAAACAATTGTAAAAAGGAAATTCCCTTATGTCTCTTCAATTAAATCAATAAATATATCATAGCTAAATAAAAATGAACCTGATTTAACAGACCACGAAGAAACGTTGTTCTTTAAATGACTCTCTACAATACAGTTCCATGACGGTGTGGACGCCAGGAACTCATCCAGAAAAGAATTTGCAGACATTCTGTGGTCACAAAATATTATGGTTCTTATTCCACTCTCAGGAAAACATTCAAAGTACATTTTAATTGAGCTAACCAAAGCGTTTCACTTGTTGAATGATTGATAGTCCATCAACACAGGTCAAAGCTATGGACCGGAAACGATGTTTCTCCGTCGTACTAAGACAGAGTTGATAAACTGTCTTCAAAGACTCTAATGGGACTTGAGATCCCGCATTTGGAGTTATAACGTGTAACAAAGACAGACAGTTCTTTAAGTTTCCAGCTCCTGTCGACACAACTGTCCACTCCTCCAGCTCACCGGCTTCTGATTTCTTCTTTCTGCATTCCCTCAAAAGCAACTTTCCCCCTGAAATTCAGAGGAATTTTAAATCCATTTATTTTGATTAATATTTTTTTCTTTAATTAAATATGAACAAATTAAGGTCAGACGACACGTTCCTCAATTTTATATAATTTTTTCCAGAAATTTGTTTTTGATTTACTGCTACTTTTACAAGCTTGCTTGCAAAAAATTAGGGTACATTACCAGGCATTTGTGCAAGATACCAGAAGATGGAATTTCCTATATAATCCTATTGAAAATCACTTGAATTGCTGATAATACAATTTTTTGTACACACATATATATATTTATTCTAAATTGTAAGCATTTTCAAAATAGGAATAAATAATATTCATTGAATTTGGTATATTATCAGGCTATTGAAATTTTGAAAAATAATTATCATTTTTCATGAGTTTCAACCTGTCCTTGAGTTATCTCTCTTTATGAAAAAGACAAAATAGGCTGTTGTCAAAAACAATTTTTATTCACATTCCTGTTCAATATAATAAGGGAATCAAATGTCATTACATTCAAATACAAATAAATGCACATACCATAAGAAAATATGACTGATTTACAATACAATGTGTTGTATTCAAAAATTCATTTCAAATTCATAAAATACTGTTGAAGAGAAGAAATAATTCTAGAATTTGTAGTAACTCTCACTTTACCTGTTGCATGTTTGTCAGACAATACATACTTTATTCCATTTACTGCATCTCTCTGATGGGCAAGACAAAGATGCTGAAAATGCAGGCCAGATGATGCAACTTTGTTTGCAGTGAATTTTGACAATACATTGATGTCTACAAGATGTTGTAAAGAACATAAATTTCTGCTGGTCAAATCTGCAAAAGAGTTGTTTTCAAAAACAAACTGAGTGGTAAAACTATGTTTGAGCATCATATCAGATGAAGCTTTTACACATAGCATCAGTTCTTGTAAAGTCTGAGCATCAGACAAAGCATCATGGGCATCATAATGCCTACTACATATGTCTTTAGCAAGATCTGTCAGCTTGTAGGATTTTCTACCTGGGATGAATTCCCTACATAATGGCAGCGTGTCGGTAAATCCAATAAAGAAGTCACTGGCACACAGTCCCACGGAATGAAATAAACGCACAATGACTCTGGAATCAAACACTGCATTGTGAGCAACCAATATAATGTTTGTAAATTGCTTCATCCAATCAATAAATGACTGAAAAGCTTCCTCGGTTGTCTTACTGTGAACTTGGTGTCCGTTCTTGTACATGATGTTGTCTCTGATGGCTAGTCCAGTCACGGCTGTAGCGGAAGCAGAGATTGGTTTTGTTGGAGGAGTGACATATTGGGAAAAGGTTTTATCATCAGTACAAGCACCAATCTGTGTTACTTCACAATCTTTATCTGAAAAAGACAAGATGAAATAAATATTAGAAGTCAAATGCATTTTTATCATCAATTCCTCACATCATGATTCAGGCACAATTTTTACATGGAAATGCATGTATGGTGATATTTACCAAGACCTGTTGTTTCTAAGTCAAAGTATACAAATGTATGCTGCCCAGCTGCTATGGGTGTTGGGATGGGTTTGGTGAGAGGAGGGGGTATTTCTGTAATGCTGTTGTCTACATTATTGTTGATGTCGGCATCAGTTTCATATGTGATCCCCTCTTTCACTGCTGCTGATTCTTGACTTTTCTTGCTCTCGGCTTTTTTCAATGCTCTTCTTCTCTTGTACTCTTCTGTATCTTCTTTGTCTTTGTCTTTTTTTCTTTTCAAGTCTGTTTTCATGGCAATTTTACTGGTCACTTTCCCAGGTGAAAGAAACAATTTTTCATTTACCTGAAATAAAAAAGCTTGACAATTTTATTTCTAATACATGTAATCATATTTACCTAAATTTCAAGCTATAATATTTCAAGTAACATTGCTAAATATAGTATTTCACAAAACAATACTGTGGTTATAATCACAACTTGATGTAGAACGTGTATTTGAAAAGAAAATTCATAATTTCAATGATTTCAATGAATTTATATGAAAAGGTAATGATCCTTCAAGAATAAACATTATTTTCCAATTTATCTGTAATATATATTGATGACCCAAATTTTTTTGTGCAATCGCTGCAGCTACTCTAAAGTCGTTGCTCTCTGAGCCAGAGTAGAATGTTGATTTAGGTGTCTTGCTTGCCACTGTATTATTGAAATTTTCATTGGGCTGGGTACTTCCTAAATCCACCAATCTATCAGCCTGTGAAATGTAAAAGTCAACTATGGATGTCAGATCAACTTTCAGTCCTTCGTCGGCTAGATAGCGGTGGTATGGCAACTGAAGGGGTTTGTATGTTGTCGGTGATGAAAGATACCCACACCAAGATCCACACACGCTGTGATCACCAAATACATGTTTGGATATGGCCTCCAAGTTTTTCCTATCTACGTCATGTTGATTTTGGCTGACACAATATCTGAAGCACTTTGATAAGTGACTTATTGTCTTAGGATTTAGTTCCTTATAGTTTTTACACTTTTTCAAATCATACAATTTGTTCGTAAACTGTTTCAGTGTGTGATTTTTGTCACTTTGTTTCTTCAAAGCTGGGTTTACCTCAGTAAGTGCCCTTGCTATGGTGGTAGTATCATTGTCCATGATGATGGTTCCAACACGAGCATCCTTTTCGCCTAGATCTTTTAGCATTTCAATGCACATGTCTGGCTCCATAGCTTTGGAACTCCCCGTCCAGTTTTTATGGCAGTCATGAGTTGATGGAGTCTTCCCCGTTTTATCTGCACTGTGACATATTCTGCAGTAACCGTTGCGTGTTGCAAAATTTACTATTTTGCCGGTTTCTCTACCTATCATTGCTGCATGACCTAGAAGTATAAACTTACATATGAATTTCACTGTAATATTATAAATTATAAGTATTTCCTTTGTCAAACATGTGAAAATAGACTTTGTATTATTTGAATACATTATCTCATATCTTTCAATACGACTTACCAGATAAACTTGAAAAAGAACGCCCTGATCTCCTCTTCTGCCATCCACCATCAAATGACACCATCAACTCATCATTATTACTACAATACAAAGTACTTAACATCAGGATAAATCTTATTATTAGATTGAGTTCGGCTAGAGTCAACAGCCTAAAATTACATGAAATGCAATTGAACATTTCATTTTCAATGATAATTTACTTTATATTTTTATGTGTAATACTAATATGCCCGTTTATGTATATGCACAGTATTCAGTGTATATAGCTGTTGAAGTATTATCTGCAATTTCATTTTATGCCTTGGATTAGACATATCATAAATTATGAAATAATCCAGCGTCAGTTTTATACTAATTTTAAAATACATTGCTTTTTGCAATCATGGTATAATTTATGTTGTGTACCTAGAAGATTCTCTCTCTGCAGTAACCACAGAATCACAACTTTGCCTTGCAACGTCTTCTACGGCTTTACCAGCTTCTCTCTCTTTAGATTTTAAAGTTGTGTGAGAAAGAGGAGGAATATTCAATACACTCAAGAGCATGGATACCTTTTTCTCCCCTATGCCTGCATGTAGCATTCCTACAAAAACAAATACTTGTGTAAGTAATATGACAGTAAATTACATATTTACTTTTATCCTTTTACCAGATAATATGGTGAAAATTATACAGGTCTATAATAGAGATCTCATACACACCTAAAGCAAGCTTTGTGTTTACATCAAATGCTCTGCTGGTATGGTCATCCAATTGCGAGTGTCTCTTTCCACTTGGAACAGAAGTCACTTTGTTGCACTTTTTACAATTTATTCGCAGTAATGAACCAAGGCCATATCTCACTTCACCACAAATATCAGTTAATTTCAAGGGATGTCTACAAAAGTTACAGCCCTCAATGAGTTTGTTCACAACATATCCTAATTCTATTACACGTCTTCCTGTGAACCATTCTATCTGTTTATCACTTTTACTACTATCATCATCAACAAAGATGAATTCAGTGTCTACTTCATCTTTTCTCTGTGCACAGTCATGCTCATCCAGATAGTATGGTACATGCAATCCTACAAGCTCGTCCACGTCGTTTGCTTCTTGTTGTGAGTGAGACACACTGACATCGTCTGTTCAAAATATATTTATATAGTAAGAAAATATGTCCTAAATGTGTTGTAAATTTATTAAATCAAATATAGCATATGTATTTCTTCAAATAAACATGTGTATAATGAGTGATCTAACTGGTGTGCTTGTGATACAGTCTTGTTCTGGGAAGAATCGCCAGAATACGATTCATTATTTCATATATACATATAATAAAGATTTTTTACCTTTGTCAACTTCTTTATTTCTCTGCTTGTTTTCATCTAAAACATTTGTCTTCCTTAGCATTTCATTAGAAATAAATTTTCCATTTCTACCGCGATTTTTTCGCGGTGTCCCCATTGTAAACAAATTACAAATTTATCTCCAATTGCAAAAGAGCGCAAAAAGGGACATAATCAAATATAATTTTTGAAACCGATTTCGGTAAAAATCCGGATTGTTTTATTGGAACTCTTTATAACGAGGAGATACAAAAAAAATTACTTGAGGAACGTGTCGTCAGACCTTAAAGTAAAATAAGAGGCAGTACCTGCTTGATATACCAATTTTGACTGTCTACCCTTAGGCTTGTGTTCTGTATTTGCATACACAACCATGGCGTCACATCCAATGTATTTAAGACTTCCTGCCATTACAATTATCTTTCTATCCATCGATTCAATGTTTGTAATACATTTTTGGCTGACAACGTCTATTTTACAATCGGTCTTTATCTCTAATGCCAAACACATATCAGTAAAACTTTCCCTATACTTTGAGGGTATTGGCACGTGATGTCGTTTCCATGCAATGGACTTCACAACATCCGCGACTTGATCCCGGAAATGTAAAACAGCCTTACATTTGCCTTTAACCCTCAGTGCACAAAGTTTGGAGTTTGTCAAAGAAACAACATTGTTTTTCTGTGAAAGGGCTTTCATGGCATCCGTTCTTGTCTTTAACAGATGTCTAAATAAACAGGGTCTGTATAGATCCACCACTTCAAACATTTGGCTCCTGGAGAGAATTATTTCAACCTCCTTCCTAACAGTTTCAATGTGATCCACGACACATACAATCCTAACTGCGAACTTCTCTGGGACGTATTCAATTTTCACCAAACCATCAAACCTGCTCTCTGTTTGTCTAAACATAGAACCATACTCCTTTGGACTTATTGAGCCCTCAAAATCACCTTGGATATCAATGTCCTTAACAATTATTGTTGTTTCAAGAAGATTCTCAGATTTATTCAAATCAGTTTCTGTGAATGCAAATAACTTGACTGTATCAGCTGTTGAAGTGTCAATATAACACTGGGCATTTGAAGCCTTAATCTTTTGACAAAGAATCCTTTTGGTGCTTGGGAGTCCAGTCAGATATCGTTGTTCAGGGGACAAGCTACAAACAAGTCTCTCTTTGATGCCATAGCGTTCGTTCGAGATAATCGTACAGGCGGAATGCAAAGCCTCTTCATTTCCGAACAAACGAATTTCATTTCCTGCCAAATTTAATGTTATTTTTATATTTCTCACTTGTTTTGTAATTTCTTTCTCGATGTCAGAATTCATCAGAAGAAAAGCTTCGGAACATGATAACTTGATATTTTTCTGCATTTCTTGAGATAAGTCGGCACGTAAGAATTTTTCGATTTCCATGATTGCTCTTTCGACAAACTCACGTTCGCCGACAACATAGACCCTTCTAGAGTCTTGATCATATTTGATGCGAATCCTTTGTAAACTTTCCAGTCGTTCTGAGATGTGGGAATAATCATGAGACACAAGAGTTACTGAACTAACAGAAATGTTATTAATAAAGTGTTCAAAACATCCTTCTACGTCTCTTTTCCAGTTTAATATGTCTCTATAAAATAAAGACCGATTTGATAGATCTTGGCTAAAAACATCTGTGTTGATTCCTAATTAATTTTAAATAATGATTTTATATCCAAACCTATAATGTATCTTTCATTTTAGGATAAAGTTTATTCAGGGTTTGAGATGACAGCATAAAATACTAATTCAATCATGCCATAAAAAAAGTAAATTGATCATTATCCTCATATAAATATTACACCAGCAGGATAAGGACAATTAAAGTATACAGAGTCATTGATCTAGTTTTTGGAAAGTGTTTAATATAAAAAAAATCTGTAAGTACATTGTACACACGTTAATAAATGCATTTTATTGCATCATTTTTTTTTTCGAGTAAACATCATCTTTAAACTCTAACCCATTCAACAAAATTAATACAACGTAGGAAATATACTAACTGATTTTTCTCAAATATAGTATTTTATCATTATAAAAGAATGTAAGCTAAAAGACTTTTATTCATTTTAAACAACACAATTATGATGAAATGGATAAAATTGTTCTGATTCCTTTTGCACATGAACATTTTTAAACCAAACAGTTTCTACAAGACAAGAATTATTGATGCTGTTAGGATAGATCATTTTGAGCACTTATACTAAAGGTTTTCAATTTAACTTATCTGAGTACGGGTGTACCTGCTGGGATCAGTACATCGTATGTACAGTTCAGTGTCAGAAGAGTCTGGCCACTCCACACAGGCGTAAAACACACGTAGCTCCCTCTCCAGCCCCGCCCTCGCCCACTCACACGACAGAAGAAACTCAAGCTTTAAACTTTCGATTTCCAACGAGATACATCTTGAGGAAAACTGAAGTGGGAATTCACCTGATACTCGGATTGAACCGAATCCATTCATGACAAATACCTTAAAAATCTTTCTTTCTTTCTTTTTTGTTGTTGGTTAGTCGGTTTTGTTTCGATTTCAACAATATCAGTTTATAAATAGAAGATTTGTCTAACCCGGAAGATAAATCATTGTTACACACAAGTAGATAACACTATTGCTATATCTTATCAAGTTTGTATTGGCGGATCACATATCGCAGCGCTATTCAAATATCGTCTATTTTGTTCTTAAGCCTGATATTATTCCATGAATCCCATTATACTTTTAATGTACATACTTATTCGTTTTTTTTTTTTACTTTTTTAACGTCAAGATCTCTCCCGTGAAATACATTTATAATCACAATATGAATACATACTGTATGTACTACAAACAATGTTAAATAAATGAACGTACATTTTTCAATTTATTCAGATTAATTTAATGGGCATTTATCGTTCATATGTTTGAGTTCTTGCCAGCATATGTATAAAATATGAGGTCGAGAAATAGGTATACAATGTCATGTAGTTTAATGTTCTGCCAAAACTCACATCATTTAATCAGAGCCAAATATTGCTTTCTGTTTGGGTTAGGAGAATGACAACTGTTCGGCATCATTATTCGTAAAAATAACATTATCTTTATTAAACTAGTGTAAAGCATTCATTGTGCTGGCTGTCATGATTTAATTATGTACAAACTCTAAAACTTTCTACTATTCAAATGAAACAAAATGACGTTCGTTCGCTTTTCATTTGTGTAAGCGTTCGCGTTTCATCCGTGTAAATGACACAAGCAGGTTTGTTGTTTACCGTTTAGTATTTCGTAAAAAAGTGTAATATTTTGTGTAAACTGCGCACCGTGTCGTGCAAACTGTTTAGAGATCATGCGAAAAGCAAGTGCGATGTGCGACTTTTGAAGAAGAGCGGTGTGAAAACTGATGTAGAATCATATGAATATACATATAGTTTTTGATTGATTAAAGATATCAAACGCACTGTTTGTAACAGATACGAATATTTATTCAAATTGAAGCGTATTTAATCGAATATTCTATAGATACGGGGTTCATAAAAAAAGTTCTTTTTGAAAGTAGTCTTCTCTGATTTTAATGCACATTTGTCACCGTTCTGCCCATGTGCAAATCCTGTGATTCAGGCGATCATGTGCCATGCTCTGAGGAGTTCTGTTCCTAGAACCTAGAAGATTTTTCCGAGTCTTGTTTTTTCACCATGCAAACTGTAAATGTATTATATTTGGCGTGTACGATATTTGGCGGAAATTCAATTTTCAACAAGTTAGCGTAGATTTGATTTAGCTCTCTCTGAATTTGCTACTTTTAAAAGTTAAAATACAAGATGTTTGGCGTTGTACTTGAATCAGCGGACTCTGCTTTCTGCCAAAATCGCTAAATAGAATGCATCGCTAAATGTAATACGTTGACAGTATTAATTTTAATGACAAGAACAGACCATTTGTCAGAAATGGCAAGATCTTAGAAATAGGATGAGTGGATAAGGATTGTATTTAATAGAATGAGAATGGCTACCATCATAACCCAAGTCCTCTATCTTTGACAGAGTCAATCATTTTTTGCCACTTACATATTGACATAATTTTCACATTGTGACATCACAAACATGGATCAAAAAATATGCTCTTTATAAAATATGTGTATGACAATATGTGTGCCAAATTTCATTCTGATCTGACTCGTAGTCTTTTTGTAGACACTCGTAAGCTTTAAAAACTTTTTCTTTTGTTCAAAAAGTAAGTTATAAACAACATGTTCAAAGAATCTTTTTCAAATAGCAATTCATTTAAAAACTATAATCTTATTCTTGTTTTTTTCTAGTCAACTCGATGAATTAAGATAAAATAAATTCATATTTTAAATTTCATCAAGATTGCAGCACTTTTCAATTGCGTAAATATATCTAGTGTTTATGTGTGAAAGCCTATTATGATCTATTGATTGCATGCCCTAATACCAGAAAGATTCATTTAAACACTTGCATTATTCTTGTGAAAAAACTTCGGCCATAATCGTTGAACAGTAAGGGATAGGATTTTTATACTTCACATATGTAATCCTTGTGAGAAGGCCAGGGATGGGGTAAATTACTTTAAAAAGTAATTAATTAAAAAATTACAATTTCTTTGACTTTTTCTTCAATTAAATTACAATTAAATTACAGACTTTCTAAGACACTTAATCAATTAAATAACAACTTCTTAACAAAAGTAATTAATCAAATTACAAATTACATTTTAAATTTTTTGAAATTTTTTAGAATCATATGAATATACAGAACAGGGATCATACACTTGTATATAAGGGCAGCCTTTGCACAAATAATACAAGAAATAATATGGTAGTAGGCATTGTGTATATTTGTGGTTTAGATCATAACTTTTACTCACAAAACAAGTAAAGAAATATTCAAGATCAATTTGATGCAATTTCCTCCACACAAAACCTTTATGTACACAAATTGCATCGGTAATGATATTTAATTAATAGGGTTTTTTAATAGAGTAAAATAAGTCGCAACTATAACCCCTAACGCGCGGTATTCAATTTGTCGGTACGGCCAGGTGTGTTATAGGTCCGAAGACATCCAAAAATATGAATTCAATACCTAATTAGACCTATTGAATAATGGAGGTGCAAAATTTAGAAAAAAAATCAAATTCTATGTTATGATTTGAAAGAAACTACATGATATTTATAAAATAAACTGTCTTCTGTATAATTGAAGGGCTAAGGATATGTTTTGCAATAAAATAAAAGACAGTAAAATGGGGAGTTCGTGGTGACAATACATTATGCATGTGTATTATAATTGAATATAATTATTAAAAAAAGGGAAATTACATGGTATTTTTTCAGTGTAATTAATTAAATTACAATTACAAGTAATTGAAAAAATGTTCAATTACAAATTATATCCAATTACTTCAAAAATGTAATTAATTACAGTCAATTACAATTACTCTTTCAATTACCCCATCCCTGGAGAAGACCCTTTATTAGATACCAAACCTTGATCATAACTTTAAAAGGGTTAGGGCTAGAGCATTCACACTTTACATATTTCATCCTTGTGATAAGACCTTTCTTTGGGTACCACCAAATCTGACCCTTTGACTTTGACCTTGGACTCAAAATGGTTACCTTGACCATAACTTTTGAAGGGTTAGGGCTAGGGTTTCCATATTTCACATATGTATTTTGTGGCAAGATCTTTCATTAGATACCAATAATCTTGACCTTTTGATCTTGGAGATTTCCGTTTTTATGAATAAACTTTAACCTTGACCATAGCTTTTTGAACGCTAAGGGCTAGTGATATCATGATTCAAATATGTAATCCTTGTTACAAGATCTTTCATTTGATATCAAGAATTACGACCCTTTGACCTTGACCTTGGATTTAGAACTACTTTTTAAAATTGGTAACCTTGGCCATAACTTTGAAGGGTTAGGGCTATGGCTTCCATACTTCACATATGTATTCTTTGTGGCAAGTCCTTTCACTTGATACAAATTGCCTTGTCCTTGGAGATTTCCGTACTTGTGATTAAAGTTTGACCTTGACCTATTTTCATATTTTTTCACAATTGTTTTTCCAGTGAGAATGCCCTACTTTGGATACCAATATATTAATTTTGCATATAAGAAAAGTTAAATCTTGCCTATGTTGCCATACGGGGGCATCAGTGTTGCACAAACACATCTTGTTTCTTTTTATTTTTACTGCAACTGCTTTCCAATCAATGCAGACTATCCGGTTTGTTTTACAGAGAGAGATAATTCAAAAAGAAATGAATTTAAGGTACACAGATGAAACACACCCTTTAAGCTTGGTTTGATGGTGGCTTATAGGTCCTTAATGGTGGTTTAAAGGTTGTCTTTAAGTCACCATTAAGCACCTTTAAGTAACATTTACACCACCATTAAGTTAACATTAAGCCATCTCAAAGTCCTTAATGGGTGCTTAAATGTAGCTTAATGGTGGCTTACAGGTCCTTAATGGTAGCTTTTAGACCACCATTAAGTCACCATTAAGCTACCATTAAGCTAGACTTACAGGTGCTTAATGTCCAAACTCCATTAAGCTACCATTAAGCTACCATTAAGCCACCATTAAGCCACCATTACGCAGTCGATATTACTGTTTTTATGGATGAAAAATTATTATATTAGTAATTTGTCATCACAAATTATAAATGTCAAGTTCACACATATCTTGATTTGGTAAAAATAAGGAAAAGAACGAAATTCAAAATAAAAAAAAAACTCCACAGACGGGCGCGAACTCATGACCCTTACCTTAGATTAGATGGCAGCCACCTTAACCATTTGGCTAACACCGCTCTTGGTATCAGAGGGAAAATATTTGATATTTATTTTGCACAAAGTTTGTTTTGGACCAGTAAAAGTATTTATTTTGTTGAACGTCTCGAAAGTCTTGAATTTATTTATTAATCAAAGTATACAATGTTTTATTTATGGATCTTTTTTAAAAGGCTTATACCACATTAATATTTTTAATACTTTCTAATAATTCTAATATTTCTAATGAGTTCGGCTTTTAAATTGTAATGACTTCTTCGCCCGTTATTCGAAGATTTATACATGTAACATTAAATCATGATTGAAATTAAATGAATTATAGATAAAACACAACAAATCTATCATCGGGAAAGACAGATGAATTTTGTTTTAAATAATAAAATAAATATGGATATTAACGATTTTTGTGTCTATGATTTAGGCCTAGTGACAATCCTCGTTTACGAGTTCCCTGATTATGTTTACAAAAACGTTTTTGGAATATCATATTCAGTTAAAATTCTTTTTGTATCACAATGGGTATCAAAATAATTGTCCTTTTACAATGAATCATAATTTTTAATTTGTTATATGCTTGCGTTAAATTTAAATTTTGTAAAAATAATTGATCATCAGTGTACATTGTGTATGTATAGTTTCCTGTTAGTTGACCGGGGACGGTGGAAAA